CTACAGAACACATTGCTTTGTGGGGTATTAGGCAAAATGGACAATGTCTAATCCTGACACCACTATTCTCACCAAAATATATTGCATAACAGAGTCTGTTCCAACACTCCCATCACATATCTACCCTATCACTCCTATTAATAAACACAAATTGTAAAATCAAACAAAGTAAAAATCCTTTCTTGGGTATCCTGTGGTTGAGCATGAGTGATAAGATACTTTCACTGCTTTTCAAGCCAACAGCCAAAACGTAACTCTCTAAGGCTCCCAAGGCCTTCACATAGCTTGTGCACAGGTGTTCCTTGTCTAGAACAAGCTATTCTGCAGAAGGGGATTTACATTACCACAGTGTCAATGTGTCATTATTTCAAAAGGAAATCTGGTCAGTTTGAAAATGATGTTAATCTGAACACAGCCACCCACTAGCTGGGAGCAGATTTCATTTCCATTTAACAATTTTACTGTAGTAGCATCATATATAGCAGTATATTAGTCACTAAACCTTGGTGTAACATTTTGAATTCAGTAGATGCTTTGTTGCTAAATGTAAATCAAACATAAAACTTAAATACCATCATCTCTTTATATTTAATATGTTAAATGCATCAATATACAATTTAATAGGTATTTGTAAAACTCCTACAGCTTAAATATGTAAAATCACTTTTTTTGGTAATTTATGCTAATTTCACTTTTTTTTTTAGAGATTTATTTATTTATTTATTTATATAAGCATTGGGCACAGTCAGAAGCGCGGGAGGGTGAGAGAATTCACCAGAGCCAGAGCAGGGAGCAGAGCAGGCAGAAGGACCTAAGTGCACTGCTGAGGGGAGCAGCGGGCGGCAGGAGAGGTCTGCGCGCCATGTGGGACCCTCTCTGGTGGCCAGGGAGCAGCCGGGGATCGAACTGGTGCTGCAGAGGCTGCGGGCAGCTTCGCAACCCAGCGCTCAACTGCTGTGCCACCGGGGAGGCCCTAATTTCATTTTAAAGCAGCATAACCACAGAGATCTGTTGACCAACTATATTACAACAATAAACTATTTCACTACAACTAAACATTTAAAATGAAAATGTCTAGATTATGCTAAGTGAAATAAGTTACAAGGAGAAAGACAACAACTGAATGGTCTCACACATGGACTAAGAGAAAGAAAATAAAAGATCAGAGAAAAAAACAACAGTAACAAACACTAGAAACCTGACTATAGGATTTGAAGCTAGATGAAAAGGATGGGGGGGAAGGCCAAAGTGGGGAGGGGGCATAGTAGACTTTGGTGACAGACTATGATGCCTTGGTGGAAGATATGAAATGGAAGCATAAAGGGTATAATCCTATAATTCTAAATGACATACAATATTGTAAACCAATGTTACCTTAAATTAAAAAAATGAGTAAATAAATAAAATTAAAATCTTAATCATTTGATTTATATCAAATGGAATTCAAACAATACTTTTGTTTATATGTTTAAATAAAGGTATTATCTATAGGACGAAAGATTTATAATGACAAATCAGTTCAAAGTTCTTTAAACTCTCAGTGTTACAACAAATCAAAGTATGGCAGCTTCTATTAATAGACGTCAATATTTTATATATTTTAACAGCTTTTACACATTTTAAAAGAAATCTGGAACACTATGCATTAGATAATGTAACACTATCATTAATTATGAATAATATAGCACATAAATATATTCACTGAGGTACATATTTTTACAGCTCAATTTTCTAATGGATTTATTTAAAAACGTTTTTCACAGTTATGATTGAATCAGATTTGCCCCCCCTTTGAAATTTAGAATTAAAGAAAATCCAAATGATACTCTAAAGCAAGAGCAGTTTTTCAGAGTCTTCACATGCTGACAGGAAGAGAACTCAAGGAAGTATTTTCTTTATATTGAAATCATGGATTAATAAAAAAAAAAAAAAACAGGAAGCAGGAAACATTTCCAGGGAAGTTTACATGTATCTATAGGACTTTAGAGCATGTCTCCATGGAACATAGCAAGGACTATATTCCAAATTACTACAGGATTGTAAACCAAAGAAGGGCCATTTTGCCATAATATTCTCTTAACATTATTTCTTAACATTATTTTGTAGTGTTTATCAAGATGTATTACAAATCCTACCAAGTTAGGGACAACATACTGCCTTTTCAATTGCATTCATATTGGGTCTCAGAAAGAACACTGTTTCAGCAGTTAATTAGTTATAGTGACAAACTTTTAAGAATAGAGCTATACAAATTTAGAAAATATCATGACTTTCTTTGTAAATTAATGAGGTGTTCACCCTTGCACAATAATAATTGGTTAACAGTCTTTCTTCTTTATGCTATCTCAATCATTTAGTTAAATCCACCCTGCACCCTCCAGAGAAATTCATGGTCTGTAACTCTACTCACTGATGTTTAGATTTATGGATATTGTAGCAGCTCCTACATATTCACATTACTCTGCTACTCTTCAAAGTTTACAAAAAGTATGAACTTCACCTGAACATTCAGATAAGTATCCTACTTTGAAAGTCTGTTTTCCTTCTATAAATTCACTTTATTTATTAAAGAAACACACAACCTGAGACCTAATATATTGTACTTTCACATTACTAAATGTAACATGAAGAATATTACATTATTATGCCACACATGGCTAAAAAAAATTAGTATTCACAGGATTATGGTAATTAAGTCTTCCTTCACTTTGGATGATGTGACACTTGCTTGACTATAATGTCACTCCACTTAAATTCTATGTAAACAACATTATCTTAGTCACTCTGCATTACATTTCCAAGTATGAGCAAAATTACAAGGTCGGAGTGGACAAGAATGTGGTAATCCCAAGGAAACATGTAAATGACTTTCTCAAGGTTCATACTGGGTTTTCAATGACAAAAATGAATATTTTTCTATACTAATATTATAATATTATTATCTAGATGCAATCCATGGCAAAGCACATGGGTATTCATGGTGTTCAAGGTAAATGTATCTGTCTTTTGGTATTTTATGGCTAACATATAAATATCATTTGCCAAGACTTTGTTCAGTCTAATAAACATGTTGATACTCAATGAGTATTACATAGAACAACTGCAAATGGTTTTGTAAATAAAACCATTAATATCTCAAATACAAATGCTACTTTTTAGAAATTCAAATGATAAAGGTAATAAACAATGCTTATGCTTCCTCCTTTTTGGTGTTTTACAAATACATAATCATAATATTTATTTGATGAAGAGTAGAATACTGATGTTCCAGTAGTCTTCTCAATCACTTAATGTACTTTTGTCCAAGAAGTTCTATCTTGAAAAGATTCTCACCTACATCTTTGAAAGTAACTGAAAGTCTTTGAGATATCTGTGTGTTCTGAGTGATTTATTTAATGTTTACTAAAAAGAACCTGTTTAATATCCACATAGGATCTTGGCTAAAATTATCTAGATTATGTTAGTGGAAGTTTCACTTAACCAAACTAGTGTATGCAACAAAATTAAACAAAATAGTGGTTTTCAGAGCATACTAAAAAGTAAAACATGGTGCTGACCAGCATAAATAGCAATGGAGATTCTTAAATATATGTTCCGCGGGAGTTCACAAATGGGCCAATGGGGGGAAAAAAAACCCTGCAATAGCAATTTTTGTGTGATTTTCTTGGCTTATTGTCACATTTGGAAAATGAGGTATACAAATGTGAATACGTTCTTGAAATGATCTGAACAATGTATGCATTTTTTTTTTGTATTACCTAATGTTAAAGCTCTGTAAGAGGTCAATTCACTGCCTTTTAATGTCATAGTCAAAAAATTTTCTCCGGACTGGGCATCCCCGGTGGCACAGCGGTTGAGCACTGGGCTGCGAAGCTGCCTGCAGCCTCTTCAGCGCCGGTTCAATCCCCAGACAGCCGGTGAGGGTCCCACATGGCGTGCAGACCTCTCCTGCCATGCCTGCTACTCCCCTAAGCAGTGTGTTTCATCGGTCTGCCTGTTCTGCTCCCCGCTCTGGCTCTGGTGAATTCTCTCACCCTCCCGCGCTTCTGACTGTACCCAGTGCTTGTATAAAATTAATAAATAAATCTTTAAAAAAAATTTCTCAGGACTACTTATAGAGAGACCCTTAAAAATATCTTCATTGCAAGAAATTAATTGATTTAGAATTCTTACCTTCCATAAATAGAGGTTTCACTAATAACATGCAATGCTCAATACTCTCATAGATTAACAGTTTACTTTTTAAAAGTCATTGAAAACAATAGATTTTCTGTGCTAGAGACAGGATATACTTGTGTTGTGAATGAATGAATATATGTGATTGTGTGTATATGTGTATATTTGCATTTATGAATTTCAATAAAATCATTTTTAACTGACTCCCTTTTATACTTAACCAATTATAATATTACACAGGTTTCTAACTGAATATTCTTTTCAGTACACATAGGATCTAAGAAATCCTGAAAGCTCTTTGTTAAACCTTAGGGTAAAGACCCTAATCATTTGACTCAAAAGTCTCTCCAAACTCAAAATCCAAACACTCATGTATGTTACCCAAAAATAAATACACAAAAATTGAGGTAAGTACAGGCCCCAAGCCCATCATGTACGTGCATCCCACTCAGTTCGCTGGTGTCTCCAGAAGGCAAGGCCCCAGTTTGGGAAATCTTGGCTACACCCAGGTGAGCATCCCTGACTCCAGGCCTAGCCACCAGCTCCTTAGGAGCAGATGCCTAGTGGCAACCTTGCAAGATATAGCTATTCAACACCCACACCAGCTAACAGCTACACCAGGAAGAACGTACCACTCAGGATTCAGCCACATAGGACTTCCATCTACATCAGGAATCTTCAGCAAACCCCTTTCCTCCTGGCCACCAGAAACAGCTACTGTTTCTGGGTGAGGTGAGGCCTGAGCAACTCAGCTTCTAGACTCAGTATCCCCTCTGCCCTCCCTGCTACCAGAACAAGGCCTGGGGGTACTTTGAGGCAGGCTCTCACACCACCTCAGCTCCTGTAAGACCCCAGTAGCTATACCTAAAATCAAGTAAACACCCAGAAAAGTGGGGGAGAAAGACTCATACACAGCAAAAGCTGAACAAAGTGGAGCAAACCCAAAGCAAACAATGGGAAGAAGGAAAAATAAAAATGGTGAAGGAAGTACTTAAGGGAAAAATAAACCACAGAGAGAAAATCAAACTCCAGGAACCAACAACACTAACATGGAAGAATTCTTCTTCCTTTCTGATGAAGAATTAAAAATTACCATAATTAAGAAAGACGAAAAAAAAATCTAACACAAACCAAACTGATAAAAACAAACCCGAGATACAAGACTCACAAAAGGAAAAGAATGCTATGAGAAGCATAATTGATGAAGAGAAGATCAAGATTCAAACTTTAAAGGTATTTTTTAAAGATTTATTTATTTATTTATATAAGCACTGGGTACACAGAAGTGCAGGAGGGTGAGAGAATTCGCCAGAGCCAGAGTGGGGAACAGAACAGGCAGACTGACGAAATACACTGCTGAGGGGAGCAGCGGGTACTGCAGGAGAGGTCTGTCGCACCATGTGGGACCCTCGCCAGCAGCCGGGGATCGAACCTGCGCTACAGAGGCTGCAGGCAGCTTCACAGCCCAGCACTCAACCGCTGTGCCACCAGGGGAGGCCCAAGATTCAAACTTTAAAGGTTTATTTATGTATGTATATAAGAACTGGGGTACAGGCCAGAGGTGTGAGGGGAGCATGGGTGAGTCAGCAGCTGCACCATGTGGGTAGCTCCCTGGCTGGGGATCAAACCCGTGCAGCAGTGGGTGCAGATAGCTTCATAGGTTGCATCTTAACTCCATGTGCCACCAGGGAGGCCTGAAAATTGAAAACTTAAAGAAGAAAATAAAGGGATGTAAAAAGATAAGTGGAGGAGGCAAAAAGTGCAGGATGTAAAAAGATAAGTGGAGGAGGCAAAAATTCTAGAAAAAGCCATGAAAACAGATGATATGAAAGAATGAATATGTGTTCTTGAAGATGCATATATGAAAAGAAGCAAGAAAGAAAAGTGAGAAACAAAGGAAAAAGAATGATGAAACATTTCCCGAATTACCTGACACCATGAAGAAAGGAAATATCAGAATCATAGAATACCAGAAGAAGAGAGAGACAGGGAGCTGAAAAAGTATTCAAGGAAAAAATTAAAGAAAGCTCCTCAAAGAGGTAATTGAAGAAAATGTGAAGAAGGAAACGAACATAGGCATACTGGATGCTAGAAGGGTGCAAAATCATCATAATGAAAGGAAAACTGCAGCAAGACACATGGTAGTAAAGCATCTAAGAGTCCAAGGCAAAGAAAAAATAATGAAGCTAAAAAGGGTGAAGAAACTGATAACCTATAAAGAAAACCCAATCAGGTTAATATCAGATTTTGCTGAAGAAACACTACAGAAAAGAAGGGAGGAATATATTCAAAAAAGTTCAAGACAAAAAGTGTCAGCCAAGAATAGACTAACCTGCAATGTAATCTTTCCTTTATGAGCTAAATAAGGACCTTCACAGACAAACAAAATCTTCAGAAATTTGATACTACTAATTCTCTACTCCAGGAAATGTTATACAAAGCCTTAGAATGTAAACCAAAAGAAGAATAAACATGAAGAACTCAACAAGGTATTGAACAGAAACACAAAATGATGAATGAAATGGCAGTAACAGACCTCCATGTATCAATAATCACCCTAAATGTTTATGGTCCAAACTTAACAATAAAAAGGCACAGAGTAGCATGTTGGAATAGAAAACAGAATGCAACCTTCTACTGCATTCAGGAAACACACCAAAGTTCCAAAGATAAACATAGATGGAAAGTAACAGGTTGGGAAACAATTCTACCAGCAAATGGCACCTAAAGGAAGGCTGGGCCAACAATATTGATATCAGATAAATAGACTATCAGCTTAAAAGGGGGACAAGAGACATAGATGGATACTATATAATGATCAAGGGGATAATACACCAGGAAGACTTAACACTCAGATGCACCAAATGAGGGAGCACCAAAATATATTAATTACTATAATCTCTGAAAAACAGACATTGAAAGAAAAATACTTAGAGGGTAGGAGATTTCAACACCCCACTCTCGCCAATGGACAGATCAATGAGGCAGGAAAAAAAAAAAAGTACATGATAGCCCTAAACAAAGATCTAGACCACATGGACCTAAAAGACATCTATCAGACACTGTACCCCCAAAACCCCAAATATATATTTTATTATTATTTTTTATTTTTTACATCACTGTTCATTTGCTTTCCCCCACCCCCTCAGGTGTAGTCCCCATAGAGTTTCCTTCACCAAGGCACCCGTGCACCATCACCACAGTCCCGTGTACTCTTCCTCCCTCTCTCTGATCCCTCTACCTCCTCCTCCCCTGCAGGATGTCTCTGATTTATAATTGTCTGTTTTTGCTTTGTTGTGTTTTGTACTGTTATTATTTTTTCACACTGATGTCTTATTTGGTTCCCCTATATTCCTGCTATAAGTGAAACCATCTGATTTTTTTTTCTTTTTCCTTCTGACTTATTTCACTGAGCATAATCCT